AGGACAAGTAGGTGGCAAATTGGCTAGGAGTAGGAGTTCTCTCTCTCTCCCACTTCCTCTTTCCCCCCCCCTCCCCCCCCCCCCCCCCCTCTCTCTCTCTCTCTCGCTCTTTCTCTCTCTCTCTCTCTCTCTCTCTCTCTCTCTCTCTCTCTCTCTCTCTCTCTCTCTCTCTTTCTCTCTCTCTCTCCCCCCTATCGTCGTTCTCCACCTCTCTCATGCCTTTCTTCCCCTTCCACTGCCCCCCTCTCCCCTTCGTCATCCCGCTCTCACATTCTAAACGCCATGAGTTTACCCAGTCCCCCTCACCCATCTTGGCATTTAACTAACCTTCCCCCACTCACCTGTTACATTGCCTGGAAACGAACGGTGAAAGGAATCTGCCCTCACTTGCCCTTGAATAATTGCGTGTGCATGTTTGTGTAAAGCAAAGTCGGCTATAACAAATGACAATGACATAAGGCGGCCGAGAAGGTCGCCTAGACTAAAATGAAAAATTCGGGCATGTATGCAGGATGGGGCCCCAAACAGACTAAGGGGTGTATAGGAAAATGCAAGAGCTGGAAAAAAAGAGACATGCTTGACGTACGCGATAACGAAAGTCACGGGTAGGACGACAAAAAAGGGGAGCGGGCATAGCCCTAGGGAAGCGTAGGGGGATCGCGAGACATCGTCCGCGGGCCCGAGCTGAAAAGCGGCCGTACGCTCGACAAGGTTATGAGGACTCCTGACTTAGTGAATGCATGTGTGGCCCAAGGATGACGCTTGGCCTGCGCATAAAAGAAGAAAGACTTTCAATAAACCCCCATGGACTGCATGAGCATTGAAAGGAGCAATTGCTTGATAACACCTCAAAGCATCAAGAAAAATCGCGGCCGATGGAATGTTTTGGCGAGTCTACCATCGGGCGAGAGGGCGGAGCTACATCCCCAATGTCGAAGCTCTCTCGCAAAATGGTTCATTTCCATCCATCGGAAAACACTAGGTGGGGGTGCCCCTGTGACGAACGCTCCGCGCACTTATCATGAGATCGGGCGGAGCAGAGCCAACTGGGACCCGCAGCGGGTCGACTCACGCTCGAAAGTCTAACCGGTTAAGGCCCTACAAAAATGGTGGAGGTGACGGGCAGTGGGTTAAACTGACCCTTGCGATTCCGGGAAGGGGGGCGCCCTACGCATGACCATGTACACAACCAAAGATGAAGAAATTGGACTTGAGTTTGCTCTTCCCTTTGAGAGAGTCAGGTTTGAGGGTGGCTGGGCGCATGGCATGACCAGGCCTGGAGGTATAGCATTACACACTTGATCAACTCACTTCTTTGAGGAGTAGCTCTAGCCCCCCTCCTCCTGTGCTGGCGTTCGCCAATCCAGAGAGGCCTCAGGCAAGTCGCAGGTTGACCCTTCCTCTTCGTGTGAAAGAAGGGCTCCGGTTACCTGGCAGGTGGTTGACACTTCGGCTTCGGCCGGGGTCCAATGAAAATCCCGCGGTGGAGTGATCCGGCCGACTGGGTGCCCTTCTCTCTTCCTCTTCTGAGCCCAGCGGGCTCATGCACTGTACACTTGAGATGCTTAAAGAAACCTACATGAACACAACAGGTCATCAAGAAGGAACAATCCTACCCTATGAAAGGATAGACAAATGAAGATAAAGGGAATGAAGGGAGTTGCTAGACTCCTAAGAAAACTAGCTCACCCTTGAAGACGCTCACGAAAAGGAACCAACCACTGTGTATGGAAGTAAGGGGAGTGACACTCATTGTCCTGAGAGAAAAAATTACGAGGAATGGGTAGTAAGTGTTGGGTGCACCAAGGGAAAGGCACTTGTACTATGTGTGTCCCACTTGGGACTTGCGATCTGCATGAGGGGAGATTGAGCGTCCCGCCTTTCGGAAGAAAAGGATGGGTCTGAACCAGCTGGGGCGGGTTGCGAAAAGTTGTTTCTATTGTAGTGTCGCCGGGTCTCATGTGTGGGAGGTTGGACCACCGGCCTGTCAGGCAAGAGTTGGTCTCGTCGGCTGATTAGTAGCACTCCCTCTCGGGCGGACTGAGCATGGCTGGACACCTTGCCCAGGCGGGATGCGAAATGTCTCCTCAGGCGGGGCGACTGCTTAGCGGCAGACGGAGGAGGACTGCTGCATGTGGGGCAAGGAGGAGCCTCAGAAACAATTAGTAGCCTCTCGTAATACGGCGGGGGAAAGGTTGATTCTTATCGGACCAATGGAAGTGAATGCTTGAACGACTGACTTTTGTTCCTAACGGGGTACGCGGGGTGATTCCTGGTGCCAACGGGGGTATGCAAGAGCGGCAAAACGGGATGGGGTATTTTGGGCGAATGGAGGGGGGTAACACCCTGCCTGGCTGTGTCGTCCCCCGTACGTCGTATGGGGGGTGCTCGTACGGGCCGTACGGACGGACGTACAGACGCCTGTACGGGCGTACGGACGCTTCCCGTCCGAACGTGCTACGGGCCTCTGGGGGTGCTGGGGGGGGTTGAAGGGCATGGGGTGTTGGGACAGGTCACTGGGGGCACTGCTGTGTTGTTGAAAAAAAAAAAAAAAAAAAAA